AAATACCTCCGACACTATCGATCGGACGCTTTATAAAACTCGGATAAATATTTTATTCTGCCAGAGGTTATTTCCGTATTAAATATTTAATAGGATTCACCAATTTTAATTTCGAAGCTTTATTTCAGTTTGACAAAATGTTAACTTTGATCAAATCTTAATTACAAAATTAAAATCTTGATGATTCATATATTGGAGAGGTTGAATTTAAAAATTAAAGTGTAGATGTTTAGAATAGATAATTTTAATGTGAGAGCGTAGATACATAAAAGGTTACTGGAGGTTAAAGTTTAAGTCTCCCAGATTCACCATATAAAGATTACTCGCTCCTTTACGAGTCATTATTTTTTTAAGGAGAATGCGTACGTGATTCTCGAAACGTTCGTCGATTCTCCGTGGAATCGTTTATAATTAACTCGAATCGATTCACGGTAATTTCACCAGACATTGCGTCGTAATGGGACACGATGAGTCAAAAAGTGGAAAATACGTCCGTAAATTAATCGGCATAATCCAAATTGTAAACAAAGAGTTTAATAATTATTATGAACCGATCAAATCCATACTGTCAACAGGGAGTAAGGTTAAGAATATAGAACGGGTTTCTTATCTGCGGACGATCGTTGCAAAAAAATGTGGAATATTTTCGAAAGGACTTTACGACTCATGCAACAAGATATCGTGATGTTGTCAAAATAGTGGTGACACAATATGCATTCCGCTGCACGATACTTTTATGTTATCAAATCATATCAAACTTGTTATGTTTCGAAATTATTACTCATTTATTCAACGGAACATGCTTTTTATTTCGCAAATTCGTTTAATTATGTGGACATTTTATATTGAAAATATCGATGCAATCTTTGTATTATTTTTATCGAATGTGTGCCATTTTGTGCGACTTTTACATCGCGTTTCATCGGACTTTGCATGTTTTGATGTTGACCTTGATATCAGCCATTTTTATTAAAAATACTTATTCAATATTTACAGAGGTATTTCTGTTAAACTTCAAGCTTGAAATTGATACATCGCAAGTGCCATTTTGTGCAATTTTTATGTCATGAAACTTCATCGAACTTTACATGTTTCGATATTGACCGTTGCTTGATATAATTATTTTTTATTAAAAATACCTATTCAATGTTTACATAGGTATTTCTGTTAAACTTCAAGCTTGAAATTGATACATCGCAAGTGCCATTTTGTGCAATTTTTATGTCATGAAACTTCATCGAACTTTACATGTTTCGATATTGACCGTTGCTTGATATAATTATTTTTTATTAAAAATACTTATTCAATATTTACATAGATATTTCTGTTAAACTTCAAGCTTGAAATTGATATAATGTAACAGCCATTTTGTGCAATTTTTATGTCATGAAACATCAGACTTTATACTCAGAATCATTGTTTAGCTATTACTTTACGATTTCGTATTGAAAACATTAGCAAACATTTTTATCAAACTTCAAACTACAAATTGATGTGCCACAAGTGGTGTTTCACAATGTTTTTCACGAAACTATGTCAGACTTGTTATATCATATTGATACGTAACAAGCTAATAAGTCGAAGAAGAATATGTTTCAATGGGACTCGTGAAATCGTGCTTGAAATTTGAGAAAACTACGAGACCATTGTTCGAAGGAAAGTTCGTCAAGTTGTTCCGAGAAATAATGATACCTGGCCCGTTTCGCGATAGAATGGGGCAGGAAACGTAAAGAAACCACGGGATACTTGCCGGAGTTATTTATACGGCCTAACAATGCTATTTTCCTATCACTTTAAAAGGAACAACCTACTTCGTAATGCGTTTGTTTCATAGTTGCTGAAGAAATACCTCGTGGAACGTTCGTATTACTCCGCTCTATCTCGTTGATAAACTTTTCATCCGAAGTTCGCGGCAACTTTGAAACGGAAGTGCGCTTAAAGTCTCCTCGTTTCGCGAAATAAATTCATGACAGAACTTGTTCTTCGAAATTTCATTTTTACCTTATCTGAGATGGCGGAAATATTAAACGTAGGACACGTAATGTGCAAATGAAGAAATTTACAAAGGCACATTCTGCAATTTCCATATTCTCCAACTCCAACATTCCCCAATTCCCACATTTCCTAATTACCACATTTCCCAATTCCCATATTCCCCAATTCCCACGTTCCCCAATTCCCACATTCCCCAATTCCAGACATCCCCAATTCCCACATTCCCCAATTCCAGCCATCCCCACTTCCCACATTCCCCAATTCCAACATTCCCCAATTCCCACGTTCCCCAATTCCAGTCATACCCAATTCCCACATTCCCCAATTCCCACATTCCCCAATTCCCACGTTCCCCAATTCCAGTCATCCCCAATTCCCACATTCCCCAATTCCCACATTCCCCAATTCCCACGTTCCCCAATTCTCACGTTCTCCAATTCCAGCCATCCCCAATTTCCACATTCCCCAATTCTCACGTTCCCCAATTCCCACATTCCCCAATTCCAATATTCCCCAATTCCCATATTCCTCAATTCTCACATTCCCACCAATTCCAATATTCCCCAATTCCCATATTCCTCAATTCTCACATTCCCCAATTCCATCATTCCCCAATTCCATCATTCCCCAATTCCCACCTTCCCCAATTCCCAAATTCCCCAATTCTCCAAATCCCCAAATACCCAACTTCCAAAATTCCCACATCAGCCAAAAATTAGTCAAACCCCCACAATTTCCACTAACAAACAATAAGAACTTCAAGAAGAAACTCACAAAGCCCAGATTTGTAAAATTTTCGAAAATACAATTTGAAGGAACTAGACTCATTGTACCAACGTAAAGTGTTACTGTGACGAAATTACTGTTTTTGTACGTATCGAGCTCAAGGCCCCAAAATGTTGTTCATTCATCAGCATGTTAATACAAGCATGCACACGGAATAAATAGACACAAGGCTCATGTATTATGAAAGGTATTACACAATATCACGAGTCGAGGACCTACTGTTCTTCAGATAATGTATTCTAATTAGATTATGTATCGAAACGTTGACAAGTTCACGTGTTAATCGTCGGCAATGGGGGGTTAAATATGTACATTGCCCACGTCTCGGTGGTTGGCGCCAGAAGTGTCTCGATTCGCCGACGAATACGAGTCGTTCTTCTGTATCTCGTTATCTGCAAACAAGACCGTAGATCGTGTGATTAAGCACGTTTTTTAACAGATCGATACACGAGTTCAACATCTTCGCGATCTTCGTAGCTCTTCGTGTGTGAACTTCGTCTGTTTATTTTCGTAGATATTTTTTATTTCTGTTCGTCACGGAATGGCGAAGCGTGCCGGAACACTTGCTGGTGGCATGATCTTGTTGCGTCTCGCATAATTACTGGCAGACAGGCCATTCGTATTGATAAGTGTTATCACGAGATATCCGGTACGCGCGTACGTGCTGATCCTCGGATCAAAAATTCGGCGTTCGCGGAATTATCGTTTTATTTTATTTCCTGTACGTGTCTCTCGCGATACGGACGCGCGGGGAGATCGTTCGGATACTGATAATCGAATATTTCTCCCCGTTGACTGATAGTAGATGCAGCAATAAATTAATGGCTTCCGTTATTCTAACGCTTCGTGCTTTCATTACGCATATAATAAGTCACGAAGTGCAAACGTAATTGACCATTGATACGACTGAATTCAATTTCAAAAGTGGATAATAATTATCAATTTGCTCCCTAATGAATTTATTGATCGAGTCATCGCTTATCTTATTAGTATTAAAACTGATCACGATCATTATTGACAGACCACTCGAGAAGCGAAAAAAAGGAAAGACCGTTTTGAGTGACTATAATAATTCGAAAAATTCGTTCTCGTGGAAAATATGTATGGGAATGTAGGTATAGGTTATCTAGATCTAGGGATATGGAATATAGGGATATCGGGATCTAGGGAGAGTGAGATCTAGGGAGAGTAAGATCTAGGGAGAGTGAGATCTAGGGAGATTGGGATTTAGGGAGATGGGGATCTAGGGAGATTGGGATCTAGGGGGATTGGAGATTTAGAGAGATTGGGATCTAGGGGGATTGGGATTTAGAGAGATTGGGATCTAGAGAGATTGGGAACTAGGGAGATTGGGAACTAGGGAGATTGGGAACTAGGGAGATTGGAAACTAGGGAGATTGGAAACTAGAGAGATTGGGATCTAGGGAGATTGGGAACTAGGGAGATTGGGAACTAGGGAGATTGGAAACTAGAGAGATTGGGATCTAGGGAGATTGGGATCTAGAGAGATTGGGATCTAGGGAGATTGGAGTCTAGGGATATTTGGGGTCTAGGGAGATTGGAATCTAGGGAGATTGGGATCTAGGGAGATTGGGATCTAGGGAGATTGGGGTCTAGGGATATTTGGAGTCAAGGAATATTTGGGATCTAGGGATATTTGGGATCTAGGAATCAACGGATATTTCAGATCTGGGAATCTAGGGATATTTTGAGTCTACAAATATTTTAGATCTAGGAATCCTCACGTCCAAAACTGATCGATTTGACATGGAACGACCCGTATAAAATTTCAGAAATCCACATATTTAGAAATCCAGTAATCTAGTAATCTAGTAGGAATCTGAGAGTGTTGCAAATGTATCTCTCGTATATCCGATGAACTCATGATTCGCTCTTATAATGTAGATGAGCACCGCGATACTCGAGCTTGCAATATTAGGAAATGGAATGCAATATAAGAAAATATAATTGCAGATGAGCTAGACGCGCGAATGATTATCTGATCTACACCGTATGCCTACGTAACACGATTATTTGTTTCGATCGAATACATTTTTAAAGAGTTTCTCGTCCCACGGTTCACCCGCCGGTTTCTCAATCGTTTTGTGCCATACATCACGAAACTGTTCCCGTCAAGACGGTTTTAATTTTTCAGCAATTAGCCTCTATCATGACCGCACGAATGTGTCTGTAACACGCACGTTTATGTCTTATTGCAGTTCACGGAGTGTCGAGTTACGATGCGACCGACGTTCAACGACGATTGGAGACCAACGAGGTGATTCATAAAACCAATAACAACCACGAACAACACCCGGACGATTCGTCGAACGATGATCGTGACGACGAGCCAACCGTCTACGTAATCGAATTCGAATCGGAGCTGAACGAGAAAGAAGACAGTATGCAGAACAAAGGGAAAGACTCGTCCAACGGTAATTATCTTCTGTTCTTTTTGGTAATCCATCGAATAAAATCATGATTTATTACGAACACTCGTTGTTTATCGATGTGTCCGTTTTTTAATACATTTGATCGAAGCTACAAGGTTAATCGATTCGTGATTAAAAGCAATTTTGATATTGTGCATTGCGAGCCAACCTTTAATCTACCACTCGAAATAAAGAAACAATTTAAATTATAAGTTACGTAAGGTAACGATCGCTTGTAATTTACTTAGAGACTTCGGTAAATTACTGTAACTCAAACTGAATGAAGTTATTGTAACTTACGGTGTTTAGCTGAAGTTACGTTAATTAGAAAATTGCAGAAAATGTCATTGATTGTAACATATCACATTTGATTGTAACGTATCTATATTTAATCCTATTAAAATAAACGTTCATCAGAGGTGTAATTAGTTCTCACGAGTCGGTCGGTACATATTTGCTGAACGATCAAAAACTGAAAAACGTCAATACTTCCTGTTGGTAAGGCGTTAAAAAATTGATTCTTCGCTTTCGTAAGCAGAAAACTGCTAAACGAATTAGCACGCGTTCTGTTCAGAGTTCAATACACTATAACGGTATCTTTGTTCGCTCTAATTTTTATTATCTCGAATCAAAGCCGGTATTACAAAATATTAATGGCAATAATACCTGTTTTCCTGCATTACATTGTAATTAATGCGTCGAGTGTATTAAATTATCCGAAGTTCCAGAATTATTAAATCCCCTTAACGAGCAATAAAATCACGGTACATACATCCAATTAATACTTTGATCCTCTAGATTCTAGATTATTTCGTGATTAATCATTAAGATATCCTCACGAACAATACAATCGTACATAGTAATCCTTTCATTCGTTTTCGTATAATTTTTCAACGTTTCGTATTAATTCTCTTATAAACGTTCAGTTAATTGTCGTACGATAAACCTGTTTATTAACGTCTTAATTCATCGACGTTTATTCATGAATTAACAATACCGCGTCAGACCAAGTACGACGTACCGTTGTGCATATGAAATTACGTCTCGTAAAAGACGTATAAAAATACCTCACGTATCAGAAGCAATCGTTATCGTTCCATCATCGGAATCGTTAATGTCGCGATGATCGACGTCTACTTCGACAACTTTCTAGATAATGTTTATTCTATATTCGTAGAATCTGCGGAGAAATCGAAGAGTTTTCCCGACGGAATCAATAACGAGGATTTCGAAGTCTTCGATTATTATTTTTAGACTGGCAAAGAATCGCATAGCCGTCGCTAGATTTTGGGGAACCCGGGGCAAGATGTAATATTGCTGATTACATCTACATACAATAATTTCATGCTGGACTTGAAAATTTTTATTTGAAGATGTCTGAAAAATTTAGAAGTTTGGAGAGATAAAGATTTTAAGACTTAGACATTGGAGTTGGTGGCAACTCATCTTTTTCTCATTCAAATTAAATTTCGAATATCAGTCGCTAGTAAAGTGTGAACCCCATTGTCTCTTGTACCTACACATCGTTTCAAACCTACACATCGTTTTAGTTAACTCTCATTGAGCTCATTAACGAGTCCCGTCCCACTAATTTGCATAACACTTTATCAGAGTAATCGAGCTAAATCAGTTGCAACGTAGATTTGCCGTAAATTATCGAGGAATTTATGGCTGTGAACTAATTCTGGAGATGGTACCGAAAGACGTCAGCGGAGTAAACCAATAACTAACTTCTCCCACTGTGTATGAATATACATACGATGATTTATTACTTAGGTACCCTCGAGTTTAGGGTCACTACCTTGGATATCATTTTATCGAGTGTTTCGTAGCTTTCTCTGCAAAATTTATTCCCAGTGGACCTACAGATTCTTCGCTTGAAAAAATAAATCGAACCTCGCTGAACGAAAGTTTTATGGAGGTTAAATAAATTTTTCTGCCGCTGAAAATAGATGCACTTTCAAACTGTTCTTTCCGTCGAGAATAACGTTAACAAAGATCCAATGCCAATTCTTTAAAATATAACTGTGAGTAATTCTTCGAGTGGTCGATATCTAACAATTTGATTGACATTTTATTTTTAGCAAATCTAATCTGTGCTACGCTTATGATATTTCGGTTGTGTCGGTTTTATCGGACACTTACGAAAATTCACGAAGCAACACGATCTCTAAGTCTTCTAATTAATCGTAATATTTTTAGTATGGATAATTAATAATTTAACTGTGCTTTATTTTTTTGGCTATAATTATAATTTTCGAGCATAATTGTTAGATGTGTAGTAAGAAAAAACATCATTACTGAGCAACATCAAATCTTACAAATTTCTGTTCTTATAAGGAAATTGTAATTTTTAAGAATAATTGTAAGATGTTATAAATAAAAAACATCATTACTGAGCAACATCAAATCTTACAAATTTCTGTTCTTACAAGGAAATTATAATTTTTAAGAATAATTGTAAGATGTTATAATAGGAAAAAACTTCATGACTGAATGACATCAAATCTCCCTTTCTCCTCTTACAAGGAAATTATAATTTTTAAGAATAATTGTAAGATATTATAAAAAGAAAAAACATCATGACTGAGCAATATTAAATCTCCCAAATTTCTCCTCATAAGGAAACTATAATTTTCAAGCATAATTGTAAGATATTATAAAAAGAAAAAACATCATTACTGAGCAACATCAAATCTTACAAATTTCTGTTCTTATAAGGAAAGTGTAATTTTTAAGAATAATTGTAAGATGTTATAATAGGAAAAAACTTCATGACTGAATGACATCAAATCTCCCTTTCTCCTCTTACAAGGAAATTATAATTTTTAAGAATAATTGTAAGATGTTATAATAAGAAAAAACTTCATGACTGAATAACATTAAATCTCCCAAATTTCTGTTCTTATAAGGAAATTATAAGGAAAGTGTAATTTTTAAGAATAATTGTAAGATATTATAAAAAGAAAAAACATCATTACTGAGCAACATCAAATCTTACAAATTTCTGTTCTTACAAGGAAATTATAATTTTTAAGAATAATTGTAAGATGTTATAAAAAGAAAAAACATCATGACTGAGCAACATTAAATCACCCAAATTTCTCCTCACAAGGAAACTATAATTTTCAAGCATAATTGTAAGATGTTATAATAAGAAAAAACTTCATGACTGAATAACATCAAATCTCCCTTTCTTTTCTTACAAGGAAATTATAATTTTTAAGAATAATAGTAAGATGTTATAAAAAGAAAAAACATCATGACTGAACAACATTAAATCACCCAAATTTCTCCTCACAAGGAAACTATAATTTTTAAGAATAATTGTAAGATGTTATAATAAGAAAAAACTTCATGACTGAGCAACATCAAATCTCCCTTTCTCTTCTTCCAATGAAATTATAATTTTTAACAATAATTGTAAGATGTTATAATAAGAAAAAGCATCAAATCTCCCAAATTTCTCTTCTCACAAATTTCTTTTGGTTCCAGACGGAGACAGCCAAAACCCATTGGACCCATGGTCGATCGTGTGGTACATCGGTTCTTTCGGAGGTTTGGTGGCCTTCTTCCTCATAGTGAGCTGTTCCGAGTGGTGTTGTCGTCGCGGTGGAAGGACAATAACGGTGCCCTACGCCCAACGGGCGGAGGTGATCAACGGCGGGCAAGTGGTCACCGAGACACCGCCTCCTCCATACCATCTGTTCGCGCCACCTCCGTACGATTCCGTGAACTATGGTGAAATCGTGGACAAGACTTCCGGGGAAAAATTGGACATCTACGTGATATCAGTGCCGATTCACCGGCCAGTGGTGCAAGTACCTGCTTAGAATCTCCCCGTCGAGATCCTCGAGCAGAGGATGCGGGCAAAACGAATCGAAATGACACTGATCGTGTCGAGATCTATCGTTCACGCATCGTTCGGTGGACGACCAGTGTTCCGATGGTTCGGGCCAAGGATAGTCTCTCCCTGAAGAAACTAGGATCTATCTGGAGTCCCTTGATCGGGATTAGCTCGATACACGTTTTTTGACAATCGTCCGTTGACCCATGCGTTCGTTCAAAACGGGCTTGGGTGAAGACACGCGATGAGCGAGGAAGCATCTGTTCGAGCGAAGGAAATTCTTCGAAGATTCGGTTCTCGTGAAAGAAGCTTCGAAACTCTACGGTGATCGGTGGAGGTCGAAGACACTCAGCGAATCGAAGGTTGGGTGTTTTAAAAGAGTGTCGACAGAGACAATTTCGGGGAGGTGAAAAGCTGTGAAGAAAGAAATGCGAACGACAATGAAATCTCATTGTATTTTTAAAGAATCGAGAACGGTGGAACACATGCAATTGTGACCAAGCAATTATACGTGCTTCTAACGCGAATCCATCATGGATATCTAGTGAATTGAACTTTTATTGAGATTATCGGAAACGAAAATTTCTGTTATTGCATATCAGAAAAGCTTCTAGGATAACGTTAACGCGGATAGTAATCGATACTAAGGGGCATGAGGGTTTCTTTTTAACGAATTATTTATCCAAACACTGCCTGATCAGATGAATCGTTCAAATATCGAAATCATTTTAATCTTTCTGAACGAGATACCGATGTCTGCTTTGCATTCAGTTTCTTAGCCAAACGTGGAACAGTAACTGCCATATTTTCCTGTGTAACGAATTTTAAGGGAAAATAAGTCGTAGGACGATTTCTTAAGGTCAGGAATAGTTTTATTCGCGGTTGGAAATGTGAATTTTAACGCGTGTGATTTATAATTTTATTTGAATCATTTCTTTATGAAAAATTACTTATCTAGAAAACGAAACATTACAAATATTAGGATACTAACATTTGGTACACACATTCAGGGGCGGATGCAGAAGAGGGAAATAAAAGAATATTTTGAACATTATTTTACACGAATTAATATTGTAGAAAATAAATAATAATTAATTTTATATAATATTACATCAATAATATATCAAAATGCAATATTAATTAATCTTGTAAGATATCGTAACTACTTATCGACCCTCGCTTCATCTGATCCTGCCTCTGATAAAAGCTAATGCGCGCCATTTTTTCAAAAATAATGCATAGCTGCGCTTAAGGTGTTGCGCAACGCGCATGCGTAGTTCCCTTTAAAAACCTGAACGAGTTATCAAACGGAACACGTGTGCGAGAGGTTCGAATAATCTCTGCTGTTGCTACACGCGATTGACCTCAATCGTGGTCGTCGAAGCTCGACAATTGCAGACGATTATACATAGACTACGAATTGACTGCCATAAAAAAGAATTTAACCGAAGGGGGTCATGAAAATACTCGAATAACGCTACTATGATGTTTCGTTAGATGAGCGTTCGACTTCTTCAACGTTGGTTAGTATTTTTTGAAAACGATCATTTATTTTTACAAGCGATGCGTTTAGTTTCATATCTTGTAATCGAAGCGAGACAGACAGTTGAATATCGTAAATCGATCGTAATTTGCAAATGAAAAATAACTAATTTATGTTCTGGTATGACTCCCATTGAACAAATTTCAGTACGATTCACTGTAGCTTTAACGCTTTGTTTAAGAGGAAAGAATATTTAGAATATGCTTTTATTTGCTCCAGTTTGATTTGATGTACTTATACACGTGTTAGTGTTTGAATTACTATCTAATAATTTTTAGAAAAAAATGTTAGATATGTTCGAAAGAAAAATGTGAAAAATACTCGAATCATAAATTAGAATGCAAGTAACACATTTTTTGTGGGATTTAGTTTATTTATGAATGTTACTCGCTTTGATCTCGGCCATTTAGTTTGAATGAATTGATTATTATTATTCGAAAATGAGAAATCGTATGTGTGCGCGCGCATGATGTATGAATGAATCAAAGTGTTTTGTGTGATTAGAGAAATTAATCATACAATTAAGTGTGTACAACGTCAATTATTATTATCATTGTATGTCACTAGTAATGTTATTATCATTGGATTCATAATCGCGTTTTTAAACGATTGAAACGCATTACGATAAATTCGCTCTCATTAAGACTTGCAGGAATTAATGCCCTCGCTATTTATTTTTTATACTTTTATACATACTGTTTATACCGGTTTGATCACCTCTATGTTATCAATAAAATTTCTTTTCTCATAAAAATATGTGTTATTTATTTAAAAATTCAAAAGAAACTCACTTGATTTAGTCAAATGCTTCTCGTAGCTTCTTAATATGACAATATGTTGAGTAACACTTGAAAAAACAATAAGAACAAATTTGTAAACGACAGTTACGATGTGCAAATGCCAAAACACAATTTTAATTATGGCGGAAGAACAAATGCGATTTCAGGTTCACCAACTTAAAAAAATGAAATGTATATATAGGCAATTACAATTTGTCCTGTCTTACATTGGTCATCAGATACATGTGCAATTTAATTTTTTATTATTTATGAAAATTCTATGTATGAAGTTTTCAAATATTCTATCAAAATGAAATTAAACGGATTACGTAACAATCAATATAAATATTAACAATGGACAGCAATTTCACATTAAATTTAAAATTATAACCTAGTCATGGAATATTTAGGTGAAATAATTGCCTTAGGTATTGACACTATCATTTTTGGTGTTTGTTTGAAGCAATATTTTTATTGTAAAAATGCAATTACTGCAGTACAGGTAAATAAACGTTTTTTATTGCATATCGGTACATTTATTTCATACCTAACCTTAACACCTGTGCAATTTTGCATGATGAACTTAATCATTGTTTATAACAATGAATTTAATGTTTAAAAATACTTCAAAACGTTCAGTCTTTCCGCAGGAAGCCGAATTTCACGAAGTTGGTCCACAATTGGGAGAGCTTATCGAAAAAAGCCCTAATAATAAAATAGGCTATATAGCCATTAGGGGTATTGTGAAACCTTTAGGAAAACCATTAAGTAGCATTAATAATAAAAAATTGACAGGAGTTGTACAGAAACTTAAAATTAAAGAACATGTTGTGGCTAGAACAACCGCTGGTTTTTGGTAAAATTACATTTCTTTTAATTATAGACCCAGTAAAAGCATAAGTAGTATTATCATTTATTGATACTTAGGTCAGACCAGGAGAGAACTGTTCATAAAGTATATAATACTGTACCATTTGTTTTACAACGAGGCACTCATGCTGTAGAAGTAATAGAACCATTGTTAGCAGATATTTTAGATATGGATGTGGTGTCTGATACCTTTGAACCAACAGTACCATCATTTGCAGACCACTTATGGGGTTTTTTTACAGGTGTAAAATAATTATTCCATATCTTCCTATCAATATGCTACTTATATATATCTACGGAAAATTATGATTTGTTAGGTGTACGCCAACGTGGTTTGCAATCTACTGAAGAGTTACTCAGGGAAGGTGCAGTTATGACAGGTATAGGTGAATTAACTAGAGGAAAATCTAAAACGCTTGTGTTACAACCTCCTTTGAATGGCACACCATTTTACTTAACAAGCATGTCCATCACTTCTTTGCTTCGCAAATTAGACGATCGTAAAAGGACATATAGGTGAGTTATATGTTTAGTATAATATATGACAAGGTTTTCCAAATCAATTTTTGTTATAGATTATTGTGTTTAATGTTTGGTGCAATTGGATTGCTAATTGGTGGTATAGTATTTCGACGCTATTGGAAAGATAGATCAGAACAAAGAATAGCAGAAGAACTAAGACAGTCTCTTGCTGCATCTCGGAAAGAAAGACGGCAAAGAGTAAGAGATACGGATCTTCGAGAGGATCAGTTATGCGTTGTTTGTCGCACAAATCCACGTGAAATTATTCTTCTTCCATGTGGACATGTTTGCTTATGCGAAGATTGTTCTGATGATATTGTTAATGATTGCCCTGTTTGTAGAGTACCAATTACACAGAAAGCTGCGGCATATATTATCTAACACCTCAAAAATAATAAAATAATTTAAAAAAATTTATTTGTTAACAATGCAACATGTTTTATAGAACCAAAAATGAATAAATGCGGCATGAATAAAAACTGAAAAAATACTGTAATTTGAGATTATAAAATTTTACTTTTGAATAATAAAACAGTTATTCAAATTATTAATTATTAGATTAGTTATTAATTATTAGATTATCATAGTATATTATATTTAAATTTAATAATACATATTAAACCTACATTAATATATTTAAATACGAAAAATATCAAAATTCTATATTTTTTAATTTATCTTTATCATTGCTTTTAACTTCACTGTTTTCCTTATCTTTATTTACATTTGAATCCATTATTCGTTTCACTTTCGTCGATTTCCCAATACCAAGTTTTGGTAGTCCTCTGTTTAAACCTTCTAACATGATACAAGCTTTACATATTTCCTGGCTTGAAACAAATCCACAACGTGAACAAGTTCGCCGTTCAGGCATTTTAATAGTATCTTTAACTTGCATTGTTTCTCCTGTAAAGACATACATTGATTACATGTTAAACAAATGTTAATAAAATTTAATCAAGAATATTATAACTTTTATTACCAGAATGAATTATGTCCAATATAGATGATGGTCTAATTTTTTCTAAATCTTTAAGAAATGTTCTTGCATGTCCTCTGTATGCATTTGGTGCAAATACACATTCTGTTGAAAAATATACTAAATGTTTAAAGTATGCATACATTACTATCTCTTTTTCATAAGCATATTTGAGTGGCTTGCAACGTTTTATGCAATCTGCTCCTGCCTGCATTATAATTACAAGATTTACTATTAATATATGCATGTGAAATACAAGTTTCTTCTTTTGTGCTCAAAGGGAAATGTTTAAAAAATCTTACAGTGATGATTGAAGTACATCTTTGTAACCTTGAAATGTCACCACGTAAGATATTCATTATAACTGTTTCTGCTATGTCATCTGCATTATGACCTGTTGCAATACAATCTACATTCAACATTGCAGCTCCCCTGTCTAATGCTTGTCTTCGAAATACTCCACAGAATGTACAATTATTTTTTCTTCCAATCTAAGATTAAACAATTACTAAATAATAAATATATATACTTCTGATATAAAAGTGTTAGATAAATTCATACTTCTGCTACAATTTCATCCATTGTCCATCCATACAATTCTTTATAAGATAATATTTTCAATGGTAAACCATAATCTTCTTTATTTTGCTGAACAGTTTTTAAGCTATCATCCCTGTACCCTAAAATAATATAGATGTTTTATAAAAGAATTCACATAAATTACATGCATTATAACTTTTGATTATAGTACCAGTGATTCCTTCATCAATTGACAAAAGAAACAATTCGATGCCATATTTGTGACGTTCATTCAAAGTTTTTAACACATATGCAAGTACTGTAGAATCTTTTCCACCTGATGCTCCAATAGCAACTTTATCACCAACTTTAAACAATTTGCCTTCTACTATAGTGTTATGAATTTCATTTTCAAAAGCTAAGAAAAAACATTCTTTACACAAGGCATGTCCAGTCTTGGGTCTCTGTAAATGAACATGTCAGATGTTTTTCATATATTTCTGTAATACAAATATTAATGATCATAAGGAATTACTCATTTTATTTACTTTCAGAATAGCAGCTTTTCCACAATTTATTGAACACTGAACTGGCATTTTGGTTGTAAAATATTAAATTTATATATTTCACTTTTTCTTTATAAATATTGATTTAAAATATGTATACAATATTATTGTATCACAATCATATTTTAATTTGTTAAACTTTATGTTGTTAAAAAACAATTCAATTCATTCATATGAAGGTTGTTATCAATTTTTATTAATTTAATTATTCTGTTTCTTGCATATGTAAAAATGTAATTAAGTTTCTATCTATATAACATAAAAATAGCAAGTTGATTTAAATTTAATAAATTTCACAGCACACAACACATCCCATCAAAGCTTAATCCTCTGGTTTCTCTGGAGGCGGACCACAAGGTTGTAACATTTTCTCCATAAGATTAAATCGAACACGTGCTTTTGCTTCGTTTTCTGCGATTGCGAAGAAATTCAATAGATCATAATGTCCCATGTAAGAACTGCAAGAGTCACGATGCTGATTCACAAGCCATTCGAACTTGGTTGTGTCAGCGTGGCCAGTGCCTATATATTTTGATTGCAAATGTTCTAGTTGACTATGAATGTTATAACGTTCTCCCATAATTTATTTTGCTATTCCAATAATAACAGCAAAAATAATAGTTGCGTTCGAATATAGGTTTTATCGCGTTTATTAATATCACAGACAAAATATATTATAGATCAACAAACCGCTAAGTCTATGAGGATACAGTTTTGAAGAAAGAGATCCTATTACTTGTTCGTTTTTAACTGGTGCATTTTCAAATCCATAAACTTCCAAATTTACAAATTGAGAATTTGAAAAAGATTAAAAGAGTTCCAATTTACATATTTGATATGATATAATTCAATACCTTAGCCTTTTTTAAAATTTTATGGTATTGGAACACCAACCACCTTTAATCAAAAAACCATTTATGCCAACTAATTGTTGCATATTTTATGGTTACAAATAATTTTGAAATAATTGCAAACAATTATTATTTGAAAATATAAAAGTATATATGTTAAAGAAAAACGCGAAAACTTTTTCTATATTTTAATTGTAGTGTGTGACATCCCAAATGTAAGTAAATGGAGATAGTAGTAATATGATATATTTTATTTGCATTCTTATATTTTGCAATAAATATTCAACTGTAGATATATGTATTTATATTTATACATGGGCATACATGTAAATTTAAATTGACCAATTGCATCAAGTATAATAATATTCAAGATTATTCCGCAATTTCCAATATTTTACTGTTAGACGGTAGAGCGCAGCACTTGCCGCTTGTTACATCAGACAATAATGACGTGCTAATGGTTAATGGCTTCTACTTACTTCAGCTACCTTTATGAGAAAGCCAAATACAATCCAAAGAAAATTCATGAGATATGATGCATCGGCTTGTAAAATTATAAAAATATGATTGCCTGAACATTCAACCGTTACAATAGCTATTAATTTTTATTAAATTTTACTCGTGGCCTACGAAATATGTGCTGAAATTGTTTACTGAGCAACGAACGTAACCATTACACTCATCGCTACGTTGGATCAGCTCGATGCAAAGAAAGCCAACATTCAGTGTGATATCACAAGATCCATATTGCACGTGAGTATTAATATTTGTCATGATCTTATAATGGTTTTAAAAATAAGAACTAACTCTGTTTTACGAAAACTGGGCAACTCCCTTTCTACCCAATCGTTAACAATGGCGGCTGTGCTAGGTTCAATGAAAAATTATTTTCTACACGATGTTCTTTGAATCGACGAATCATAGATATATATTTGATAAATTTTGTATTTTTGTCTGGAAATCGTGACAGTTCGTTAAAAATCACTGTATCATTACACTTGTTAAAGAATTGTGTTGTGTCGAATATACTGTTACGTCGACTAATCTATGCATGTGCATGTCCGTGTGTCTTCTTACATGCGCGTATTATATATGTGCGCTATATCCATGACGATCGGTATTCAAGTATAGAGGAAAATAGAAGTAGTAATATTTTTAAAAATTTTTTACTCTGAATTACACTAAGGTAAGCACTACAAATAGCTGGTAATATATAGTATTTTAAATTCTGTTATATGTTAAATTGTAATACTTCATTCATTTCTATTCTTATATTTGATTTATCAAGTACACATAAATATTTACATACTTTTAATTAATACATTTATTTCACTGTCAATTGAATCATTGTACTTGTAAATAAGATTTTATGCAAAAAACATAATATTCTGTTCTATTTAAACATGTACCTATATATGTATTTACAGTGAAAATATTCAAAAAGATGTAGGAGTTTTTATATAAATCACACGATAAATGTTTTTATGAGAAATTAATATATTATCAAAACAAAAGCAAAATACTCATCATATTCTTGTTTATATTTATGCATTACAGTAGGTGACATGCCTAGCAGCCGTGATATTGAACGAGCTGAACGTAATGGAAGATTTCGTTCCCGTAGAAGAGGTAGTACCAGCAGTGATATAAATCGTCACAGTTTTGAAGCACTTGATAAGAAGCACAGAAGGCATGGGAAAAGTAAAAGTTCTGGAAAAAAGAAAAAGAAGAGGTCTAGAGATAAATCTATAGAAAATGTTCCAACTGTAGCTTCTTCCATTGTTAAACCTTTGGTTGAATACTCAGATGTGAGTAGCGAAGATTTATCTGAACCAGAAGCAGGAGAAATTCAGTCAGAAGATAGTAGGGGTAATAGCTATACAGATGGAGAAGTACCTGAACCAGTTTTGCAGAGACGTTATTATGGTGGAAGTCCAGTACATGCCCTTGGAGCATCTCCTATTAGTCTTTCACCATCTCCACCTGTTCAGCATAGGCATTCTAATAGACATTATTCACCAAATGAACAGCAGCCTTCAACACTTCATGGTGGAACACCTGACTACGAAGAAGAGTCTAGACGATATGCGAGAAGAAAAGAGAAAAAACACAAACGGGAAAAGAAGAAGAAGAGAAGTCTTAGTCCTTCTTCAAGTTCGGGAAAGAAGAAGAAACGGAAGTCCAAAAGACATTCTCATAGTTTGAGCCCACATCGTATCGCGGATGAAATTATCATCAGTCCAGATCATGAAAAACCAGTTGGAAACTGGTCAGAGTCTCCACCTTTGCCATTAAAAGATAGTACCTCGCCCATATCGCCTGCAACGCCTCAAGAACAAAGATGCTTGAGTGACGTAGAACTTGAAATAACAAGGCAACCCCGAAATGTAACTCCTCCCCCACTTCCTCCAAGGCCAACAGAATCACCACATACCCCTTTAATGCCACCAAGAACTACAACGCCAGAAAGCAATAAAGCAAGTTTATCAACAATGAAACATACACCTGAAAGACAAAAACATAGTCCTAGTATTCATACTCGTCGTAATAGCGTTAGTCCAGGCCCCACCATTAGTTCAAGTCGGAGGAGACCTCATAGTCCAAGTCCACCAGCAAGAAGAAGGGACCATAGCCCAACGAGAAGAAGAGATTTTAGTCCAAGTCCAATGGTGCATAGGCTTAGGCATAGTCCTAGTCCTACAAGGCGACGGGAATTTAGTCCAAGTCCTGTAAGCCATCGACGCAGAGAGCCTGTTAGTTCGCCATCTTCAAGCAAACGTAGAAGGCGGGAAGAATCAGAACGACGACATCGTCATCACGAAAAAGACAGAAGGGATAAAAGAAAATCGAGGTCAACGAGAAGTCCCACTGGAAGCAGGTATTATATTTTTGAATTACAATCATTCATTTTTCTTTCGTAAATTAAACGTGTTGTTTTTCAGATTGCATTTACCTCTTTCTCGATCGCGATCTCGAAGTCCTGGAAGGTGGCGAAAAATACAATCTCGTTCAAGATCGCGTTCACGAAGACGAAGTCGTACTCCAAAGAAATCCCGTTCTCCTAGTAAATCTCATAAATCATTACGAAAACACAAATCAAAGAGCCCTCGACCTTCGAGGATACCTTCTCCATCACCTCACAGACCCAGAGCAAGGAGTCCATCAAGTATCACGGCAAGAAATCTTCGAGTACAGGCAAAAATTAGTGAAACCAGTTTATTCGCCGAGTTGGTCAAAGATAGAAATATGAGAGAATTAGCGTATAAAAAGTTACAAGCAGCTAAAGAAAAAGCTGTTAATCAGGATGAAGTTCAAATTATAGAAGGCACCGATGAGAAGGATGGCGGTAGTGCATCTTCCGAAAATAAAGCTTCTGACAATAAAGACAAATATGTAAATCACAAAGAGCAATTGAAGCCGACAAACGACAGTGTGAAGTCTGTTGATCTTGTGGATATTCCAGTTCCAATGTCGGATGATAATGGAATCGCAGGAAAAACGCCTCCGTTGCCGATAGTACAATCCGTTAATGCACCAAATTTGATGCCTGGAGCTAATCAACATACTTTAGCTACATATACTTCATCTATAGCACTTACATCTAGTTGTTCGGTGACTGTAACAAGCAGTCCAAACTTTCCAGCTGTTACAAATGTACAAGCACCGCCATTACCGCTGTCCGAACCTGCGAACACGTCGGGTTTACCACACGTATCTATGCCAGTGCCTATTCCTGTACCAGTACCTGTTCTCCCCAATTTATCTGTACCACCACCACCTATACCTATACCAGTCCCAGCGCCGAATACAGCTATGTCTAAGTTCAACCCTCCTAATAATTTAGTTCCTCTAAAGTCTGTAGATCCTCCTAAACCTCCTATCGTGGCATTTAAAACTAAAAGTTTATCAAGATTGCCATTACCGCCTGGGATTAATCAAAATGATTTAGAGAGTATAGACTCACCACCAAGTCGATCTCCAAGTCCGCCTAGCAAAGCGCAGTTGAAATTCCCTGCTTCCACTACAAAACCACCTCAGAAGAAAAGTATTAAGGATTTACCTATGCCACCAGGTAACTTGATATTAGTATTATTTTAGTTCAATCTGTTTTATCATGATTTTAATAATATTAAGTTTATTTTATTTCTGACATCTAGTTGTTCCTGGTTCAGAGGACTTAAGTGGAGAAGATGATCCTAATGCAACACCGCCACGGTTGAAAGTTGAACGCGTTCCACCGAAACCAAAACTGAAAAGACCAAAAATATTGAAGCGTAGGGGTTCTAGAAACTGTCATACTCCTATGTCAGCTTCAGGTGGTAAAGACTGGGGAGAACGTTGTGTTGACGTGTTTGAAGTCATAGCTCAAATTGGGGAGGGTACTTATGGTCAAGTTTATAAAGCTCAGGATAAACGAGCTGGTGTACTGGTCGCACTGAAAAAAGTTCGTTTAGAAAACGAAAAAGAAGGATTTCCTATCACAGCGGTACGCGAAATTAAAATTTTGCGTCAGCTTAATCATAAGAATATTGTCAATTTGAGAGAAATTGTCACTGACAAACAGGATGCTTTAGACTTCAGAAAGGTATCGTATTAAAATCCATAATATTGCAGGTAAAAATAAATCATTAAACGAGAATTATATTACATACTACTTTTTTTCAGGACAAAGGTTCGTTTTATCTTGTATTTGAATACATGGATCATGATTTGATGGGTCTTTTGGAATCCGGAATGGTTGATTTCAATGAAATGAATAATGCAAGCATTATGAAACAACTGTTAGACGGACTGAATTACTGCCACAGTAAAAACTTTTTACACAGGGACATTAAATGTTCTAATATACTAATGAATAACAAGTATGTAAAATATATTACTGCAAGAAAGAAAGATCATTTCAGTTCATGCAGTCTAATTATATGGATAATTTCCGTAGAGGAGAAGTCAAGTTAGCTGATTTTGGACTTGCAAGACTTTACAACGCTGAAGATAGGCAGCGTCCTTATACAAACAAAGTAATAACTTTGTGGTATAGGCCACCTGAATTATTATTGGGTGAAGAACGTTATGGTCCTGCGATAGATGTGTGGAGTTGTGGTTGTATTTTAGGAGAATTATTTTCTAAGAAACCACTATTTCAGGTACAAAATAGTGTTGATTTAATGATATAATTAAAGGATAACAATTATAATATATGTAATTATGTTATAAATTTTAACAGGCGAACGTAGAAATGATGCAGTTGGAGATGATTTCTAGAGTCTGTGGTACGCCGACTCCTGCCGTTTGGCCTTCTGTGATAAAACTACCATTGTGGCATACGTTGAAACCAAAAAAATCACATAGAAGACGTTTACGAGAAGATTTTTCATTCATGCCAGCTCCCGCTTTGGATCTGTTAGACAAAATGTTGGAATTAGATCCTGAAAAGCGAATAACGGCTGCTGATGCATTGAAAAGTTCTTGGCTGAAAAATGTTCAACCAGAGCAGTATGTTCTTTTTCGTATTTCAGTATATGTTTGTAAAGCAATTAATATTTAAGTTATTAATTTAAAATAATATTAGCATTTACGTTAGAATGTATTCAATTAGAATGTTAACCCTATAGGATTTATTTTACTTCATAATTTTCTCGAACGATTTTAATCGTTATTTGTTCATAAAATCTGTTTGTATCACATAAAAAATTAGGATGCCGGCACCTCAACTTCCTACTTGGCAAGATTGTCACGAGCTGTGGAGCAAAAAACGAAGACGTCAGTTGCGCGAACAGCAAGAAAGCTCTGCTGGAAAGATACCTCTTCTTCCTCTTCCAAATAAAGGAGGTCCTCATAAGGCTATTGAAGATCTATCGGATGTCGGGGGGTGAGTAGTCGTAGAGAGACATATTCGCACAAACTGAGACGCGATCCAGTACTGACCAGATACTAATTGCTTACACACGTAGATGGCTGTGTACTGCAGTTGTGCTTGGCATTTATTTTCTTAGCAAAATGCGTTATTAGAGATATTTATTTAAAGAATGAAAACATAACTGTTGTAGTATCTTATTTTCATCGTCCGTCTGCATGTGACTTTCAATAATGGATAAAATAAGTTAATTTTAGTTTGATTCACAGTCGTTCAAACACGACGATGGCTATAGTGCAGAACAGTGGAATATAGAGACACGAAAATGTACAACATCGTTCTCTTTTCATGGGTTGGTTTACCACAGAAAAAATGTCCTAATATTTTACTTTTAAATATACGAAATATTTTAAACGCATGTATCAAAGAACATAGAAAATTTACAGCGATACTTTTGTCATGACAGAATATGTTATAATATTTAAGCTACACGGCTATATCTTTAAATAATAGTAGTAATATATACATATTATGAATCGACAACCGAAAAAAAAACTTATAATATTTACATACTAATCATCACAATATCTTACTGCTATTTTGCTTTAAAATAATATTAGAATGTTATTTGGTTTAAAGGATATAGATATTTTTATGGTAAAAGGAAAATCGTATTATCCTCTACTGAAATCCATTTGTGATTCAGTTTGATTGATTGCCTTAGAAAGTAATCACGTGAGCTCGGAAAAATTACCGAATATTTTTTACATATAATAATATTATGACCAATACGCAGATAAATATGTACATATTTGCTAATCTATGAGTGCATGAATATACATATACATATGTTATGACACATTTGTGTATGTAAAATGGATGCACTTCTGTGTATAAGTTGTCATTGAAGTACATGTATGCATTTACATGATTTGCATGTATATGCATATAATCCTTAATATACATGATTGTATCAATGATATAAACATATATATATATATCTATGAAATATTCGCCTTTAAATAATAAATCGTAAAAAAGATGCAAAAAAAATATAGTAGTAGAGAATGATGTGATTGTAAATAAAAAGAGATCAAAATCAATGAAATTTCTCATGTTAATTTTTATATTAAATTGAAATATTTACAAGCGTATGAAAGGATATATGTATAAAATGAATGAGGACACGATGCGAGCAAATAGATGATATATATTTAAAGCTCTGAAGTGTAAATAGGTAACGTGGATGTTCAGAAGAAGCTGTTTGGAAGATTGAAGACGCAGAATACAAGTCAAGATTGAAATGTGAATGTAAACATGCAAAATGCAAAATGCAAAATATTTATATTACGACCATCCCTATCAACATTTTATTTTATTTACGTTAATTCGGTTTATTCAAACATTCACATTTATAGCTTAGGTATATTTTAATTGATCGTATTTTCGCAACGGTGTTATAGTTTGTTCTTCTGTATTGTAGATAGTTATAAGTTTCAATATACGAATGGCAATTTTTGATATTTGTTAAATAATTTTATATAGCTGCACGTGTTCTATATCAATGCCATTCTTATAATGAAATTTGGAATTCAGATAATCTTAATGTATTATTATCACAATGTAAAATAATATTGAATTATTGTAATATAAAATATTTACTGAATGTCCATGGGCGATTTGCCTAATATTTCTATGGACAATGATTTTCCAATGTTATTAAAATATTTTATCATTTAATTTGTTTAGTACCTCTCAATGTTTCTATATTTTAATTTATGAACTAAGTAAATCATGATCCTTCAAAAGAATTGTATTTGATAAAAAAACACTGGGACCTTGGGAATGAATGATAATGCCAGTGTACACAATGATGTACTCTTTCAAAATAAGTGAAAGTACATGTTATTTTTCTACTTATTCCACGATAAGTTCAAACAAATGTTTAACACGTTTGTTATTTTAATGTAGATTGTACAAAAATAAGTAACATGTTAATATATAGATAATAGTTATTGCATATACATTAAAAGAGAACAAATGGTTTGAACTGTCTGTGTAAATACTGAACATTGTTTGCTAACAGGATGATTAAAAGGTTTATGTAGTTCATTTTTAAATAAATATTATCACATGAGTTACATAACTTTGATCATTCTGTGTTCTGTTTTAAAAAATCATTTTCAAAGTATGTACAAATATATGGAAGGACTTAATATTTATGTTACAAATTGTTAAATCTTCATTAATTAAAAAAAGAATATGATCTTGTACAAACTTTGTAATTTGAAACTTGTAAGTACTAAAGGTTTTGATGAATCTTCACAATAGCTTTAAAATAAGAATGAAGTCCATTAATAAAAGTTATAATAATCTTTTCACATCAGTCATTAATGAAACATGTTTTCTATCTTTGCTATCTTAATTAAAGATTAATATAATCAAAAGATAGTCACAGATATGAAATATTCATATTAAAAGGTATATATATATATATATATATCAAATGCAATATAGTCAAGGAGTTATAATAGTATTTCACTATATTAGACTTTTATAATATTAACTTTTTTACATAGCACGGATTAAAATATTTGTAACATATTTTTCTCATTTATGTAATCAAAGTCATATTAAATTTGAGTTTTTAACAATTTGTCAATATTATTATTTGTATAATTACTAATTTGTAATTAATAAAAATAAATATAAATATATTGTACATTATTTGTTATAAAGAGAAGTATTTGATACATAACCACTGAGCTTGTATAATTTCTATATACAGTATTCATTTGGTTATGTACATATTATTTATGATACATATAATAATACTATATGTTAAATGCTATAATTACATTTATACTGCAGACTATTGATAGATTAAATCGTGGAATTTATAGAAAGTAACATGGCACTTTTAATATAACATAACAATAATTGTAAACAAATACAAATTGGCAAAATATCTAATAAAAGAAAAAATTATGTTTCAGGAAGTAATGTTATTGTGGCTGAATGATAAAGGGCAAATTTTATAACACTTATAAGAATATACATAGGTAATAAATGTTCAAATTTATATATGTTTATACCCAGGGTGTCCAGTTTAATAATTCATATCAGATTTGGTTTTGTGTATCATATAACAAATTCATCTGCTTGGGCTTTATAATTAAAATAAAAAGCTTGACCGTTTTGTGCAGAAAGATTGATGATAGAATGAATTCAACAATTACATTATGACCTTAATATTTATAATTTCTTACAAAATTGTTTCATCATATTCAGATATAAAGGTATAAATAATAAGTATACCATAAGTTGTGAAAAATAAACTTTTCAGAATATAAATAAAAGTTGATATGTTATGACTATTAAATTGCATGTATATCCATATAAAATATTGATTTCTTAGCCATGCTTCTTCAACGTGCACGTTTACAAATCATTATCTCTGCATGATTTTTATGGATTATCAGATAAGTGTTATAGTTGTAATAAATGTTACCACTTGTGTTCATGATATCAATATGAAATTGGATTTAAAGCTTTTCATTTTGTTGGTATTATTCTTACCATCACAAATATACTAATATTATTAATATACTATTACTTTCAAAAAGCATTCATTTCATTTTAACACAGCATAAATCATTAAAAAAGTTATTGTATCAGCTCGAATCAGTCTACAAATTTTCATCATAACACATGTAACATTTGTCATCAGATGTGTATATGTACCATGAAATATATGTACTAGTTACATTTTATATAAAATTATATCTTAAATTTAATACATTTTTGAAATATAACATTTCAATGAACAGTTATGTTTATTTAAATACATGATTTTATAAGATTTTAATAGTTTTAAAATAAATTTTTTACTTGATTTCAGATCTTCCAAACGTTTAAAAATGGAAGCAGGTTACAATTCTCATCCAAATCGTCTTGGTCCAGAATCTCATTATGCGGGAGATAATTTGTTTAATCAAAGTAGGCCTTACATGGTCTCATCACCATCATATTATTACAATAGTCCTCCGCCTGTTACACCACGGTCCAAGGGAGATGCTAGTAGACCTTATATGGTTTCATCACCATCATATTATTATACTAGTCCTCCATCTGTCACACCACGGCCAAAGGGAGAAAATACCTCTCACATAACAGAATTATGCACAGAAGATAGTCTTGCTCGAAGATTAAGTATTCTCACAAATACCTTAAATCAGGGAAAACCAATTCGTGTTGAAGATCTCATGTCACTTCGATCAGAAAATGAGGTAAACAATATAAGAATATTTCATATAGTTTCTTGACTTTTATCTGCTAAACACTTCAGTATTATTTTATTGTTATAGCTTAAAAATATAAATAATTAATTAAATTACAGAGTGATCCAAAGGTAGTACAGTTGTTAGGGGAATTACATGCTGAACTCCGGCTTGCTGCAAATTCAAGACCAAGTGGATTAACAGACTCTCATGCTCCTGGATTAAATCCATCATCATTAGGTAAGCTTGATGCCTTTCTTTTTTTCATTTTATATTTATGACATGATATTATTTCAAATATCACTTTCATAGATACAAATGCAACTCAGTCAGGAAATTTTGATGCACATGCAGTTTATGCTGGTGATGATGCAATGAGTTCTGGAAGGTGGTCACAAGTTGCTACAGCTGGAGTTCGCAGTGCATTATTAGCGCTCATGTCGCGCTATGGTTTGGAAACTTGCAATCCTTCCCCTGTTATCACCCGACCCCCAGGTAAACCAGCATCCAACCTAACACAAAACCTTTTCCTGCCCTCAACTTCCTCTCAGTCAGCATTCAGCTCATAATGATTTGTATATATAACTCTTTACAGCGTTCTAAGCTATATATTCTGTATAAAGTTGGAAAAGGTCTAAATTGCTATTTTTTAAATTAACTAGGCATGGAAGTACAACTGCATCCAAGTTGTTTATAGACTCTACTATCTGTTCATAACTGTAAGTGCACATTTGGTGTATACTTGTATATAATTGATGTATTATTGATACCTGACCAGTTACTTAATACAGTACTTGTATCTTTAATAATATCAACATGCTCTTTATAGTGCACATTTACACGATATATGAAGCAAGAGCTTTAAAGTCTCAATATTTTCTTTTTTATATTTTCAAGTATAAATTTATTCAATTAATGTTGAAACTATTCAATATTTCTATACTTATAAAAAAGCTGTACATGTTGATTTGTTAATTTGGAACAAAAATATTTCCTTTGAACAGGGATATTTTCATATTATTTCAAGGCAAAGCTTCATTTTAAAATATTTATCACTATATGATTTATATTAAGTAACGTATTTTGTTATAATTGAAACAAAATGAAAGATGAAAGAATGGGATGTTCAGAAAATATTCAAATTTGGATGCATTCTGAACATTTATTTGTTGCATAAGATTTTTTTATATAAGATGTTAATGCTTATTTATTATTGAAGTATTTACGGGATGTAATGTACATAAAAAAATATCAATACATAATAAAGATACAAAAATACATGAATACAACAGGATTTTTTTAGGATGGGAACAAAAAAAGTCTAATTATACATGGTAATACAAATTCCATAGTTCCTAGTCGAAAATAGTTAATGATACCATAAATTAGTTTCTTTTTGGTTAGGTACTTACAAAATGATATTTATGTTAAACGGGTATTCAACCATGCATTACAAAAAATTGAAGAAATGCTTCAGATACAGTAATTTTTTAAAAGAGATATAAGTAAGAGCAGATAATAATTAATACAACTTTCACAAACGTTTCAGATTGAACTGATTACGAGAGAACACGTACATCGTGAAAATGAGGTTAGGATGTGTGCTTTTATACCGGCAAGCTGCATACGACGGTATGGCGAACTGTGCTCCGATTTGAACGAACTGCCGACGCGCTGTAGATCGTTCAACGAAGTGAACAACAGTACAACATTGTGGGAATGACTAATAAATTGTTTGCTTTGTTGATTTTGTTCGATTCTATACTCGTGTGGTATTAATAAAAAAAAAAACTCAACGATTTAACAGTATACACAAATAAGAAGACGAGGGATATTCAATCACTCGAGAAAATAAACACCTAACCTCGTCTATTTTATTGATGGCTATGTCAGCTGTTCTGCAATTTGATTGTTCTGTAGACAATGAAATCGCGCGAAATGCTACGAAAAGTTTTGCAGGAATGCTTGAAAAAGCATTCGAGCAATATAAAAGTAAGTACATATTTTGTACTAATAAAATATGCATTTGATTTCTTTTGCTTCTTATGCTGATTATATTTTCGTATTATCGTCTTTTGTTTTTTATTTTATTTGTTATCGGATGTATGTTGTTTATATTCTTTATCGTCAACAAATAAGATAAAAAGATTTAAGTTTCAATAAAACAATTTAAAACGTTTTAATGGTTCATACTGTAACTTCAATTTTGAGTGAAGTTTGTGTTAGTTAATTTGCAGCTTTTAAATTTTATTTATTTGCAGAATTATGGAATGAATATTTAAAACTGAGAAAGTATTGTGAAGATTCTAATTTAAAGATTCCATTTCAGTTAGATGATTATAATAATAAAGATGTGTAAGTTTTGTTTCTTTTGCCAATTTTATTTTCAATTATAAAATTTAATTTGTAAAGTTACAGACTTTACGTGAAATACTTATATATTGTCAAACAGATATTGTTCATGTTACATTTTATTTTAGCAATACATTATCAGAGGAATGTGGATGTTCCATAGAATCACCTGATGTAAGTCAGATATTGCCTGAAAGTATAAAAATACCCATATCAGTATGCCCAAGTGTTCCTATTACATGTAGCTCTGGTATTGTTTCTGACTTGGATGACAATTCTGTAAGCAGGCAAACAAACCAAGACAAGTTACAGAGCAGTCCAATACTTATAAAAAAACGTTGTAAATCTAAAAACAATAATAATATATTCAGTCATTCTTCTTCAAATGAGTCCAACGAAAATCTAGCACAACAATGTGTTCCAATAAAAGAAGATCTTTCTGATTTAGCAAATAGTTCTCAACAGGATGAACTATTTGTGGAACCAAAACAAGATGAATGTTCATTATTTTCACCTACTGAAATACAATGTACACCTGTGGCTAAAGTGTCACGAAAATTAGGAGTTAGTAAACAATATAATGTTGATACTACATTATTGAAAAGTGGGAAAAAAGTTAAACAGTCAAAACTTGTATTCCTTCCATGCGAACAATCAGAAGACAACAGATCAACATACACATTGTTGACACCAGAAAAAAGTAAAAAGAACGAATCAAAAAATCGAAATAAATCAGTAGATGAAGAAATAATACAAGTTAGCCCTAATAAACATACTGAATCAAATCTGAGAATAAAAAATTTGAAAATCAAGAGAAAAACTCCTATTAAAGTTATTCAGAAAGGTGCAAAAGATTCAAGTATTCTTAGTAGAAACAATCCTGACAAAAGTAATGATGTCAAATCTCCTTTAAAAGAAAAAAATCAATTGAGTCTCACTCAGAATTTTCTATCAACGTGTTCATTTAAACAAGAAAATGAATTACCTTCAGTTAAAAAAATGAAAACGTTTAGTTTTCAAAATGATGAGAAAACTAAAAGTAAGTGTGATATAAGATCTCCTTTATCTGTGGTAGATAAATTAGAACATATGCATTTTGTAAATGATGAAAATTTATCAACTACAATAACAAACAGTGAAGAATTGGAAAGTATACAAAATATTAATCAGATAAAGAAAGAATATTTACAGCCAATTGATGAAAAAGTTCACATTAATTCTTCAACATGTGATGATGAAACATTTTGTATGTTAGGGGAAAAATTGAAAGAAGCACCTGCTGTTTGTAATATAGATAAATCACAGATTACTAAAGAAAATATATTTAATAACAAATCACAAACACCTTCACCTGTAAGAAGGAGTCTTCTGACTAGTTTTGATACGTAAGTTGTTTACATAAATCTGACAAATTATTAAATATGTGTTGATATTCAAATTTATAAATTTGGTTTAAAGAAATCGCAAGAGAAAGAATGCAGAAGTCAATCAACCTTCCAAGAAAAAAGCAGACAGAGCAAAGATGTCTGGTGTTTCTTGTTGGGAATGTCAAAGGGTATTGTATAATATCTTATGCATCTATATAATGTTTTACACAGAAGTACTTAAATATTTTTATTTTTAGTATTATGCTAACCTTGGACTTTCTGAAGAAGAAATAAAACTAAGACAGAATCAGTGTTCTCGACATAGAACTAATGAAAAGAAAAGAGAAGATACACCAGAAGGTAATATTAAGTACTATTGTCTTCTAGTTTCAGAAGAATAGAGCAGTATGTATTAATGTTTATAAATATTAATATTTTTCAGGATTTTGGAATCCTTTATTTTCTGGTACATATACATCTACTTTGCAAGATGATTAACATAAAATAGATCGAAGTGCATTTTATTTGCCATATAAATATTAATATTTCGTAAATAATTTTTCTTAAATATAGTAATATTTTATATTTTGGTTTCGCAGTATTTGTTAATATTGCAGAACCTTAAATGTATTTATTTAAATTGAAATATATTGTAAATATGTAAAAATTATAATGTTTAAAAAATAAACTTGAAGAACAAGGCAACATTATGATTTGAACATAGAGCGATTTATTATATTATAACACATATAGTATTACATTTTGAGTAACATAGTATATATTTATATATTATTTCATCTTATATAGATTCTTCCCTTTGCATAAAAATATAGAATCTGTTATATCAATCTGTGCTAAAAAAGAAATGAAACATATTAATTGGTCAAGTAAACTTTCATGGTACATTATACGTATTCAACACAAAATCGAAATTATTACAATAATACTTTTTCAATTTCCGTATACTTAGATGCGCAAAGTATCTGGTATTCAGAAATGCTCGTAATAAGGATCAAACTATTTGGTATTGTATATTTTATATGGTTTTAACTATTTGTTTACCGTTTTTAATTTTTTTTAATTTAATTTATTATTTGCAGCACTCAATAAATGTATTACTCTATCTTCAACTACAATTTAATAGGAAAGAATAATAATACAGAAATGTAAATGTAAAGGAAAAAACATTAATTGACAGTAATCGTTCTGCACAATGAACAAGGAAGGAACTTTAAATACAATATGTTCATCTTGCGGGAGACTGGATACACAGGACCAATAATGCTGTAGTTTCAAAACAAACAGACGACATTTCCATTTACAAATTATCATATCGACACGACAGTTTGTGCGAACATGTACGTTTACAATTTTTCTTTTTATACACCACCTAATATCATTTTCATGATATAATAATTAAACATTCCACTTGGAAAAGTTTGTTAACATAATACACTTTCGTATGATATTTAGAACATTAAGTTTACGTTATGCAGCCACACTATATTTCACATTGATAAAACCGATTATTTTTTTTTATGATATTTAATTATAATGCGAATATTGTGCAGTTCGATTATTTTTTTTTCTTCGTATGCGTAGAAAAGAGACTGATAAATAGTGCTTCCCGCGATCTTTTCACGTTAAACTTTTCGTTCAACGTCGAATAAAATTTCATTGTACGGAAATAACATTCTTAGCCCTTCGTTAAAATCCACATTTTTTAGAACGTGTAACAATAGTATAAAAATTCTGATTTCAATCTCTAAAATGGTGATTTCAATTCTTGCATTTTTTACGTAAACAAAAGTTAATTAAAAAAACTATCATAAATATTAATTATATACATAATTGAACATATTTGCTTTAATCAATCCGAGCACTAAGTTATTTGCAGCTGATAGAATTGACTGAGCAGATAGAACTATATTCTTTATACCGTAATATATTTTGATATTTTGTTTAAAGCTATTGTAAAGCACGTTAGTTAAGTCATCCATTAGAGAAGGCAATATAACTTTAATTTGACTCAAATAATTTATTAAGAATGAAACAAATACTATAAAGACTGAGCTACATAATCAGTGATAAGCCTTCATTTTTTCTCGAAGCATTAAAATTATGTATAATTAAAAGATTACTTCACATAAAAGTTTCACAAGAATATAAATGACTCGCTTGTGAACCAATAGGTAGTTCCAACAGTTGTATAGCTCAGTCTTTTGTATATAAATGTTTGCACCTAATTATTTAAATAGGCCGTAGTCAAATAAGAGATCATAAAAAATATTACAAATTAGCCAGAAGGAATTGTTCCCTAGAAAATAGTAATTTGTACACATGTTTTTTATCACACTCGATAAATAAACAAAAACAGCATATCTTTTAAAAATCTAGGGATACAGAAATTCAGGGTTTTTCATAATGAAGCATATTTGAAGTAGTCTATTACAAGCTCGTGATCAGTTCCTATGATTTTAAAATCCGTTCAAAAATATTTCAAGGCAAGAAAGTTATATAGAAAATAAAAGATCTGATAGAGATTCTAGACTCATAAATATGATTACGTTGAATTAGAAATATTTGGCCATTTTTTGGATAGACTGTAATTAATACTTCGTTTTTGCTTGTCGCGATTGCAGTTTACAATTCGATTCAAATTTTACTAGCCTTCTTTCGTGGAAGAAGTGCTTACTAGAAGAGAAGATTTTTCCGCGGGGGGTACAGGTAAAGCTTTAAGAGTTGCATGTACTTCTTCTGCTACGGCCATCAGGACAAATTTAAATTGTTGCTTAGTTGCAACCATGTCAGGCCTTTGATCTCGTATGTGTTCTAGTGTAGCTGCTATGTCGATTTCCTTGGCTCCTTTCATCATACGATTCAAAACCATGTCGATTAAACAATAAGTACCGGTACGGCCAGCACCATCGCTATAAACGAAAAAATTAAATTAAAGATACCGAGTGACAAAAATATCTTTCTAAAATAAAACTAGCTAATTATTCAAACACATTATACTAGTTATTTCAAAGTACAAATAATTTACCTGCAATGTACTACTATAGGACATGATCTGCCTTTGTACGACTTATTGATTTTTCTGAAATTGTATAAAATAATTAAAGTCAAAGTTTTACATCATGAAACAGTTACAACATTAGAATTAAAAGAATATTTACCTGCGGAATTCCAAAAGAGCCTTAATGGAATGTGGCACATTATTTTCAGGCCAAGACGTGAAATGGAATTGCGTTACAGTCCTGGTTTCACCGGTACGAAGATTCTTCAAGTAGAAGGAGCGAACCAAGTAATCGTCGCACCAGACGTGTTCAGAGACAAGGTGCACCTCGTAAATGTGATATAATTCTGATCCTTCTCGTGGCCAGTAACGGTGACACATAGCGATACCCTCTTCGGTGAGTCTGGTTAGCATCACAATTACAACGCTACCTTGTTCCCAAACGAGTTGCCAGAAATCCGCCGTTGTGTGAGGCAATGGTCCTTGTGTAGCAATGTAAGCTGGATTCCGAGGATCATGATCCGTCTACAAGAACATATACGACTTTGTTTTTGTCTATATTTCTCTTAAACGATGACTGTAAATTACTAAAGCAAGTCACACGGTTTTCTTTCAACATGTGGAAAGCATACATATTTGCAACTTTGCAAACTATTATAATTTTGCATTTCAGAGTACTAAGTATTTCATAATGCAATTCTCCTTTGTTTCAAATCGAAGCTGATTTGTCATTTAAGCTGTTGTCTTTATGTAGTGCACGTTTAGTATCTATACTAAAAAAAAATATGTGCATGTATTACTTGGAACGTATATTTCTAAAGTGCTAGATCTCTATAGTCCTAAATCTCAGTATCTCAACATCTCATAAAAGGTGGATATTCATTATACCTGTACTCATGCTTCGATTTTGTAAAACTGTGAAAATATCTATGCGAAAGCCTTGTCGCAAACATTGTGAATGTAAATGATAGCGTATTTTACATGCTCGTCGTGTGACTTACCGATTTCTATTTTCAGTTCCGATTCAATGAATTTAAAACGAAAATGACGTACAGATTAGTCCATGAACTTCACCGTACGTTGATATCTTTCGAAGAAGTCGTGAACGAATTTGTCTTGATAATACTTACGATCGTCGAGGCGTTAATATAGTCGGAGTTATTGGCATTAGCGAAATCATTCAATATCACCCTGGAATGATCGTAAGGAAGTGCCGCGCCGGGACGATTGCATTTCAAATTCTCTTCGCTCTTTGCAATTTCTGTGGATGACGGATCTACCTCGTACGCGCATAACGCTGCCCATTCTTGATCTAATCGGTCTTTATTTTTTAAATGATCCTCCATGTAACTCTAAAAAGCAAGTTAATAATTAAAGATGCTATAGAAATGTAGAAAACAATATGAAGGAAAAGAGCACTAGACACATAATTCTTTCTGTAAACAGTTGTGTTAACTTACTAAGACCATCTGTCCTGTTGATATGTCCATATTCGAGAGAGCAGGTTCGTCTCCCCAAGATGAAGTGCTTGAACGATTCGAAGGCAAATTATTAGATTCACTTTCACGACTCAAGCTGGTGATACGCGGAGATTCCGGTTTGTCTGTTGGCTGTTTCGCTTGCATTCTGGCTCTACATAGATCCTGATAATCCTTTGAAGCTTCTGGATCAAGTGTAGCCAATCCTGTCAGTTTAGCCCGGAATTTAGCGTGACGACGAGCGAATACCAAAGTTACTGCTGCAGCCACTGCAGCAAACGCAACTCCTGCAACTACTATCGCTCCGAGCGCGCCTGACGACATCTGAGATTCTCTGGCAACTTCTAGGGTGGCAGGTAGCTTTGTCTTCAAACAAATATTCATGTTAATTGTTATTCTATGAAACAGTCTTATTATATTCTTTGAATGTATTGCTCGAGACAATTAGAGAATACTGTTAAGTCTTTCTGTGTCATTGAAAATAGCTATTTTAATTGAGGAATGAAGACACTCAAAATCTCCTAATTGTTTCAAGCGTACATTCTATCCTAAATATGTTTTCAGATGAACCTTGTCACCTATGCCTGCACGAATCACCACAACACCCAATGTCTCTTGTAATTTTCCACGTATATGACCTAAAATATACAGTTGATCAATTCCATTACTTATTTCACTTTATACGTGCGTCGTTGCAATGATTACGTACCGATATTATTAAGGACATCGGTAGCGTTATAATTCTTATTATTTTTAGCGACTTTAAATGTTACTTCTGCTCGACCCACCCGAATGTCTTTCAGTACTCCGGGTCTTAGCTCCAGTAATTTTTCTACCTATATAAAAAAAGCACTTGTTTCTTTCAAATTTTAATGGATTATATCAAAACTTACCTCTTTGACCACATGTTCCCCTTCTGACCACGTATGAATCGGTTGCTGAAACACCATGTAAACGTGATCTAAATCAACATTATTGTATGATTTTAAACTCTCTGACTGATGTCCAGCTCCAACTTCTTTTTTCACAAACGGAGAGAATATTACTTCATTCTGGAAAATATTTTTATATGATGAAAATGGACTAGCATGAGGGTCAAGGATCTTCATTTGATTGTCACTTACGTCTAGCTCGGTTTCGGACGAGTCGGATCGGTTTTCGTTCTCCAAACCTGCGCAGACATTATTGACTTACAGTTGCTTGCGAATATACTAATTTTAATTAGGATGAGTATAATTACCAGATGTGGATGGTATTTTAAATGCGTAGTTATTCGTCGAGAATGGAGGTCCTGGTTTCTTAACATCCAGCCGTTCTCGGCGTTTGAAACCAGCCAGTTCACGTCTCCAGAGTTCGTTCAAGTCGTCATCGTCGAATAAGTTGTCGTAACCGTTCTCTGCGAATGTTAAATTCATTCGTGAAATTCTATTCATAATTCTAGTGATTCTAGAATTCTAATGCTGAGCAAATCAAGTATTCATTAAAGAATTAATAAAATAAAAAAATGTTGAAGTTTGAAGACAGAGCTAGCAAGAATCTAGAAGATATCCAATACAGATGGATATATCTGTATTACCCTAATTACAAATTTACCATCTGAATCATCGTTGGATTTATCTTTAGCTTGCATAAGACCTCCTTCAGTATACATCACATTTTCCCTTGAGGAAGCATCCCCATGACTCGACTCACTGTCAACGTTAATATCGTCATAATCATCGTTCACATAGTCATCATTCTTTGAATTACGTTTTACATTATCAAACATAAGTTCACTATCGTCTGGAAGCTCAACAAACTTTCTCGGTTTGTACTTTCTTGAAAACGTTTTCTCGTACTCGTTTGTGCTCTTTAGAACTGTAGGATAATCATCAGAGGACTTTTCATTTATCAAGAACTCTAACTCGTCAGATGTTAGATCGTCGATCGTGTTCGGATTTGGGCTCTTAGTAAATTCTTTCAGTGGTTCATTATCATTCTCCAAAACACTTTTGATAGACTCCATGTTACTGTAATCTCGTAGATTGTACGGTTGTCGTCTGGTCCTGTAGAGCCTCTCGTTAATTCCGTCAAAGGTCAAGGGTTTATTAAGCGAATTACTTTCCTGATCTTCGTAATTTTCTCTGGTCAGAGTCTGATATTCATTGTAGGAATTGGAATCGTATTCTGGTTTGTAGAATTGAGAAGCTGGCTCTCTAGGTTGTTCGCTGTATGATTGTTCAGAGAGCTGATCAGTGTATAAAGAATCAGGAACATATTGCATTTGTGTTCCAGGGGGGTAATACAACTCATTGGCAAACTGGCTGTTGGATCCGCCATGATTGGGTGTGAATTTTACTATGGCTATTGCAGGTACCTTGAAGAAGAAGATTCAATCAGTATCAAATTCAGAGAAGGAAAGGAATGAGGATATAACTGACCTGTTCAATGTTATTTTTACTTTCAAAACGTGTACGTGTTTTCAAGTGCTGACAGAGTCGAAGATCATAGCTCTCCCTGAAATAAAAGTATGTCTTGAACAAGATTCCAAATGTATTCCAAACTGTATAGATATCCTAATGGTTAATACATTGTAAATACAAGGTAAGTTAAATATAATTTATATAATATTCAATCTGTTAATTCAAATTGCTTATTCACTTTGGTAGTTACTTAATATACTATAAATTTCAGATTGCCACATCAAGCAGTGATCATACCCATGATGTAAATTATACAACGACGTTTGCATAATACATTGCGTGTAAGGATGTGACCATTTATAGCCATCTGCTTGCAGCCTCTCTAGTTGCAGTCTCAATTGCTCCAGTTCGTTGATGTCAAAGTTATATCTGTAAACAGAGAAATGTCAGTAACAAAATAGTGAGGAGGTAATACGTTTATTTGTATATAAATTCTACACACTAAGAACTCTGCTATAAATTTTTATTTTATTTGGATAGCTTGCTTTCACGAAGTGGAAATGCACGGTTCTCATAAAACAACTCTAAGTAGTATAGTCATTTTATGATCAGACAGTAAAAGAGAAGAGTGCTTGTATTGGATGTCATCAATTATTACTCTGTACTACTAAACTTGAGCATGCATGGTATCTTTTATTCAAAGAGTTTATTTGTATCCACCGATACTTACTGATAATAGTCATCCTCGGTTAAATCGGTATACACAGGTAAACATCTACCGAATGCCAAGTCTAAAACGTTGAATTAAAATTTTATTTATATTGATTATAAAAATTATACATAATCATTCATTACCATTGTAGCATGTTTCCGTTCGAGGATCGCAGAGGTTCTTACTGAACAGACATCCTGAAACATACATCAAAAGAATTAGAATCTTTTTGGAAAACGCATGACATCTGAAGATAAAAAGCTCGTTTAAAAAGACCGCCACGAATTGTGATCAACAAATAAAGGAGCAGATAACATATCAGCGGATTAATTCAATTATATGTGAATAGTTCAACACGTCACTGATAGGTGACGCCGATGAAACTTTTTACAAAAATGACGTCGGACAAAACTTGGCGGATTATTTAAAACATTTATAAAAATATCGAATAGTATTATAATTATAGAATATTATGTATACCACACAAGCACAGAAATCGTTTTCATATTTTTAAATGTCTGCTCGAATTTTATCAAACAGCAAGTAAACTGATCTACGAGCAATAAGATCTAAGGTCGATCAGTAAAAATCTATAATGTTAATTGATAAGGAAACGGAAGAGGGCAGTTGAAGAGATATACTTTTAGTGGTTGGAATGTAGATGGAAGCAGATCCAAAGGGAGGAAGCATTTGCAAAGGCGGCGGTCGCGTGGGATGCACGGTTCGATAGTCGTCGAAAGGTCGTGGGCGAAAATCGAACACACTTCTCCCACCACTTTTTTCATCGTTTAATCCCATCCACGAAGAAACATCAAATTTTCAAGGTCGCTACGATAAAGACCTTTGATCTGAATGAAAGAACGAGACGATTACGCTTTTCGACGATGTGCTTAACATTTTAATGGACGTCATTTTGTGGACTCTACAGCTCTTGCAGTTTTATGGCTTTTCTTATTTCTGTCGAGGGAAAATCCTAGTGGTTCCTGAATTCACCGTTGATTATATTTATTTTCTGAAGTTATATTCGAATGTGTAAGTTCAACTTACCACGCATTTTATGCTTACGTCATGTGCGTGACAAGGAAGAGTTACATACAATACAAAATGATTTATCTTTGAACTATAATTAGTTAATATGAATAAGTAGCAATAAAATAACACACCGCTTGAAAGTTTGAAAAGTTATAATGAAGATGGATTTGTTCAGATCTTGAAAATAAATAATAAATATATAATTCATCGGGTTCTAGAGATTAGCGTGCTATCAAAGGATGAAATCTGCCGTTTGCAACGGGAAAGCGCAGGAAGCAAGGAAATCGATGGCAACTTTGAATTTTCATTGAAAGCCGCTCGACGGGAAAAGGGATATCGAAGAAGCGATTGCCGTTTCGAGAGAAATTGTACCGACGATTTTTCATTTCTTTTTTCTCTCTCGATCAACGGGAACTTGTTTTTGCTACCAAAGGAAATGGATTGCATGCACAAAATGTTTATACTCGACATGAGCGGATAGAAGTATGATGGACCTTTAGTAACACTCGCAAAGTATTTTCTTTCACTGTTACAACTTCTGAAAAGATAATGGTTTAGCGAGTTTATTCACGTTTTGATCAATATGTACCATATTGTTTGAACTATTTCGAGTGAAAGAAAATTGAACACTCTTCATTCAATATGCTGACTGTAAAAGTTGAATGGTTCGCTTTTTTAATGACGAAGAAAGTCATAATATGACCTTTTTGCGGACTACGTTCTCTATGGAAGAAACTCCAAAGTGCAATTACGTATTTTTCTTTTTGTTTCACATTTAATTAAAACCAAGTATACATTCTTTTTCTTCCATTTCAATTCTTTGCAGTCCAATTACGTTTCCCGGGGCACAAATATATATCGTAGACGTCGAAATAACGTGTCACTTTTAATTGTTACAATAACTTTTCTTTTAAACTGGCGTTTTATCGCCGACACAATCAAGCGATAAAAATAAATCGCCGCTGTCTAAAAAAGGAATGAGGGGTTAAACTGTGAAGTTATTTCTCTACTTTTTTAAACAAGTCATATAAGTCGTATTTCAAAGAAATAGTTAAAAAAAAAAAATAGAAACTGCGAGTATATTGAGATGCATAAACAAGCTTCAGTGATAAATCCAATTTTAGTTCCAACGTGAGAGGATGCAAACTTTCAAGAGCTTTCTTTTTTCCAGTTTTAATCGTTTCTTTTTATGGACGATAAAAAGAGTGAACTGAATACCCGATATTATTTAAGATCACGTAACTGTGATCTTTCTTTTCTGCTTTTATATTTACTTTTTATTCATGCATGAAACGGAATTGGTACTGCATTATGAATTATCAGTATTTCAATATTGAATTCGAATAAAATTGTTAAACTTTGGTATGATGTTTCTTTTTTAGTTTTACATTTATTTTTTATTGAGGTTTTAGATAGAAGTGCAATTCTGTTGAATTGCTTTTGGATTTTGGAGATGTGGGGGTTTAGGGATTTGGGAATGTAGGGAGTTGGGGGTTTAGGGATTTGGGAATTTAGGGATTTGGAGACATGGGAATTTGGGGATGTAGGGATTTGGGGATTTGAGGATTTGGGGAATGTGGGATTTGGGGATGTGGGGATTTGAGGATGTAGGGATTTGGGGATGTGGGGGGAATTGGGGAATGTGGGAATTGGGGAATGTGGGAATTGGGGAATGTGGGAATTGGGGAATGTGGGAATTGGGGAATGTGGGAATTGGGGAATGTGGGAATTGGGGAATGTGGGAATTGGGGAATGTGGGAATTGGGGAATGTGGGAATTGGGGAATGTGGGAATTGGGGAATGTGGGAATTGGGGAATGTGGGAATTGGGGAATGTGGGAATTGGGGAATGTGGGAATTGGGGAATGTGGGAATTGGGGAATGTGGGAATTGGGGAATGTGGGAATTGGGGAATGTGGGAATTGGGGAATGTGGGAATTGGGGAATGTGGGAATTGGGGAATGTGGGAATTGGGGAATGTGGGAATTGGGGAATGTGGGAATTGGGGAATGTGGGAATTGGGGAATGTGGGAATTGGGGAATGTGGGAATTGGGGAATGTGGGAATTGGGGAATGTGGGAATTGGGGAATGTGGGAATTGGGGAATGTGGGAATTGGGGAATGTGGGAATTGGGGAATGTGGGAATTGGGGAATGTGGGAATTGGGGAATGTGGGAATTGGGGAATGTGGGGATTTGAAAAATGTGGGAATTGGGGAATGTAGGAATTTGGGAATGTGGGAATTGGGGAATGTGGGGATTTGAAAAATGTGGGAATTGGGGAATGTAGGAATTTGGGAATGTGGGAATTGGGGAATGTGGGGATTTGAAAAATGTGGGAATTGGGGAATGTAGGAATTTGGGAATGTGGGAATTGGGGAATGTGGGGATTTGAAAAATGTGGGAATTGGGGAATGTAGGAATTTGGGAATGTGGGAATTGGGGAATGTGGGGATTTGAAAAATGTGGGAATTTGGGGATGTGGGAATTGGGGAATGTGGGAATTGGGGAATGTGGGGATTTGAAAAATGTGGGAATTGGGGAATGTAGGAATTTGGGAATGTGGGAATTGGGGAATGTGGGAATTGGGGAATGTGGGAATTTGGAAATGTGGGAATTGGGGAATGTGGGGATTTGGGGAATGTGGGATTTGGGGAATGTGGGAATTGGGGATGTGGGGATTTGGGAACATAGGGATTTGATGATATAGGAATATAGAAATTCACAAATATAGTAAACTACTAACTTAGAAATTTGGAGATACAAGAACCTAAATACATAGAAATCTAAACTCTAACAAACCTAAGCTATCAGACCCAAAGATACATAAATCTAAGAAAAATCAGTAAGGAAACATCCGAATCAAGAAATTTTGTATACGTCTCACTCTACACATGTTTTTCTTCTGTAGTATGAATAGGGCTTTCATGATAAAAGCATCCAAGGTTATTCCTACATTTTTTGTTCAAGGTAGGTCTTTGTCTGGAATGCCATTAATTCATCATTGAAGGACAATCTCGTTTCTGATTTCAAAGATGTTCTTGAAATGCTCGTTGCGAACGTAAGAAAAGCTTTCATTGTTCCTTTCGGAGAAACGATCATGAATTTTACTCACCGACGTCGCCATCACCCAGAATTACGTGATGGAGGATGAAGAGCATCAACAGCTCCAAACCTCCTCTCCACCACCGTGTACGGCCCATAGATGTTCCTATAATTGCACGTCTAAGTTAGTTTCAACAGTGAAATGACACGAACAGGATAAATCTATAATTCGTTTTTTAATCTGCGCCCGGGCATCTTCTAGCGGGAAATGAAGAGTAAACTGGAATAATAAGGTAGAGTAAGTGGGTGAAGGATTATTTCTTTGAAGTCTGCAAGTCGGGAGCTATTTCCATTAGGAAGAATGCTCTGTTGATGCTTTTCTCGATTAGAGAGATATTATCATCAGCGGAAGAGTGAGAGAGGAAAGATTACGTTGGAACTTTGCCAGCATCTTTCATTTCTGGATTTCAATTTTTTGTTACTTGAAAATTATTTACTCAAATCTTTGTTTATACTAAATTTAGTTAGCACTTCGCAAATTAATCTTAATTAATATTTTACAAATACTCTAAATGTAACAAAAATTTATTTGTTTGTCTATTTGTAGTAATTTAAAGCTCTCAAGCAAAATTCATAGTTACCAAATTATTAATAATGTCTTATCGCAGCGTTCATTTTTGAGAGCAAAGTTGATCGAATTAAAAACATCTGTAACGAACTTTAAACCGCTTTAAAGCGTACAAGCTGTTTGCAACGCGTTTCCTTGTATCTCGCAATTCTCCCAGCCGCACGGCGAACATCTTTCAGATGTTTAAAACGTACATGAAAGTATAAGAATAAACATTCGTAAGATCATCGGCGGTACATCAATTTAATCAATTTCACGATTAACGCGACAGGTATTGCTATAAAGGGTGCGGTACAGCACCCCTTTTGCGTAATGACATAAGCATCTAGATTTACGCAATCACTCGCTGCACGTACAAAACGAAGCAAATTACTGCGTTGTAAGGCAAATAAGCTTATCGGACATTAAACGCAGCAACCTGGAAGCTTGTATTATAATAGTTCGCAATACGTTTGTATCACTCATTAATTATTATAACCATTATCTCTCGATAGGCCGGCAACAATCTAAGAAACACGATGAACAAAACGATTGACTAAAATTAGACACTCAAATTTCTAAACAAAAACCTTTGTACTTTCGCAACTAAATTCACGAATAATGCAAAATCGTTTACAACAGGTGATTTTCAATGCGGTCGAATTTTCTATACAAATTAATAATTCTTTATCACATTTGTAATTTCTTTACAGTAGAATTTGAATACTTCAAAACATAATAAATATAAAATTTGAATAAAGGGTAAGAAAACGAATGTAAGATGTGAAACCCCGGATGACATGAATCGGTAAAGATACACCATCAGAGGGTTGAAAACAAAGCGCTCCTTTAAACCGCTTGTTCGAGCTTCAAGGTTGTGCGATAAAATCGAAACGAGTACCTAATTATACATGTACACCTTTCAATTGTTCACGTATGTATATTACAGCACTTCTCGAAGCACCGACGACGTCTAACTTTATAGTCCGGGTTCGAAGCATCAGGTTGTAGTCACGTTCTCTCCCTCACCCCCTCCCCCGCTCTATCAAACCTGCGTGGTGCCTCATAGCGACGCTTCGAGGACGACAAGAAACGCGTGTCTTGTTCGGCTTACCTGGGCGTGACACCTTTTCCTCGTGGTTCCCTCGCCCTCTCTACGACTCTAATACATCCTGACTGAACCGACTCTACGATTCGACGCGCGGTTCGACTCGATCGATCTTTCGAAACTACGATTGTTCAACATGGAACAGCGCCCGTTAGATCATTTCCCTACTGTGCACGTCCAGTTGTGCCGCAACGGTGCCACTGACTGGAGTATTCTTCCACGAAGAACGGTGAAAGAGAGGAGGGCATGCGTTGATTCTGGAATCGATTGCAACGCGCACATGCCGGCTGCCAGGCGACGAAGGATGCGAATAGCGATGGGACCAATACCCTCGTGATACACCTGGACCTTGAAAACACTTTGCCAGCAACTAATCTGAAATGCGAGTCCAAAATTATTACGTGCCGCATGTTTTGAATCGATTGAAATTTCAAATGGATGTAGGACAACAATAGAAAGATATGAAAGCAGCTTCCCTAGCATCTGTGCTTGAGTACTACGTCAATGTATTGTTTTCTTCAGAGACTTCATCAATAAGGTAGCCCGGATGTGGTCTTCGCCGATTTCAATGAAACTTGAATGAAGGGTTTATACACTCAGCTTAATTAAAATTATAATAAATACGTGGCCAGGAATATGCATGCAAAGTTTAGGAAATTGTATACCTCAATATGTTCAGGTAATGAAAAAGTTTATTGGGTAGAGGCCGTAACACAGCGGGAGGTTTATGAGACTCAGAACCTTTTCCTGGGTTCAAATCCTTTCTGAAATAATTGATATAAATGTAGATCATTTTATTATCTTGAACTGCTTATTTATACTTACTATTAATAAAATACTAATTTCATTGTAAGTATAATAATGTGCAATAAGTATGTACAAGTACAGAATAAAACTGGTTACATATTGCATATGTGCGTATATTTTTATTAAAATAAAAAGTTCATGTGAGAACAACAAATCCACGTCGTAAATCTGTGTGGATCCGGGATCAATCCCATCACTACGAGAGAACGAGAAAAAAGAAATAACGGGGAGGGAAGAAATAATACCACCTACGATAATAGAGAAACCAGGCTCTTTCGTGCGCCCCGCTATCAACATGCCGATATTATTGCATGCGCTATCTCGAGCAGTACAGAAACTTTTAGCAAGATTTCGATTGAGAAAGGTTTTTATCGCGATAATGTCGGTTTACGTGAAGTATATTCGTGAACCAACAAACGCCTGCGCATTTTCAACCTCATCCCTCTTGGGTTCTCCTCCCTCTACGCGAAGCACCTGTTGTTCACAAATTACATTTTCCTCTTAAAGTAGCCAGGCATTGTGTATCTCTTGCATAGCGTGACCCCAGGCTAGAATAAAAATGAAACATATTATTTAATCTGTTATTACTAAATTGTACCGTGTATATAAAATATATTTAAAAAAGTTAGGTTAAAATTGTTCGTTATATTGCCGAGGATAAGTATTTTTATGATGGATTCTTTGCCTTAATGCATCAGTTAACGAAAATGAAAATTCGGTTACCGAAAGTCGCAACACCGAACGAGCAGATATTCGGAAAATACTATGATTTTACCCTGGAAATTAATAGGTAACTTTGTCAGCTGTTACTTGAGCGGATTCACATAATTTCATCGAAGTATCGATTAGGAACACTTGTTGCAGAGAAATTGAGTTCACAAGTAATGTTGTACTTTCTATCTTCTTCTTCCACTTGAAAGATAGAGACGAAAGTAGTATAGCCCCTGATGTATCAGACATTGCATTCATTCGAACATTTCCAGTATCTAAAATCTAAATTGTTTACTAATTCTTCATGAAATATTAATATTTCGAAAGACGAATTGTAAAAAATATTTGTACTACAAAAGTTGTAAATTCAATTAATTAGTTATTGTAAATTTAATACTAACCAGTTAATTAATTTCTAGCATGTCCCATATTAATTTATCAAATTATATTATCATATAATATTTCTGGTCTATATTTATTTTTCTCCGTATTTATCTCTGGCGAATATCATTATCTTTTCTGTCAGCAATTTTTTATTTAGTTTTCCAGTCCGTTAATTTTACTGCCATTATTGTGTTTGTTATCTTTACTTCTTGGATAATTCTTCCATTTTACTTCTCTTAGTAAACTCTCTAATTAACTTGATTATTGATAACCTTGTTTTTAATTTTAATATTTAATATTTTTTATATAATTAATTATTCTTCCAAATTACTTGTGTTCGACTTCTATGGTATTTATCATCTTCATTCAATTTAATAAAATTTAATTCAAGTAGACAACTCATCCCAAGGAATAAGTTACCCTGCGAATATCTTATACAAATAAGTTATCGCATAAATATTCCACAGAAGTATGCAAAAATCCCACAGAATTTTTGCGAATCTCAGCTGATTTCAGAAGCAGTGTTGGGCAGTCATGAGATTTTATCTCAGGCGAGAGCTTTATGCGCATGCGTCAGCTGACGTCACAGCTTGCTGCCAATGCCGTACCTAGCCGGTATACGCAATGGTAACTGATGAGGGCACCATGATCCTACATAATTTTTCAAAAATTCTTATAATTGCACTGTAAACTATGAATGTATAGGTTGGGTTAGATTACATTAGGCTGGGTTAGGTTAGTTATATATATGACTGTATAAAACTATACGACTATATATATATATCGTGAATTATATAATATAATATAATGGGAATAATATGATGGAATATGGGAGATTATTATATTTAAAATAACACTATTTATTATATGTATAGATCCGATAAAAATCGAGCGGTATCTTTTCCCTTTGCTCTTGCAACAAATATTGGTATTCATATAACAAATCGGCTGCAAACGTAAAAAATAATAATAATCATAAATAAATTTAAAATTACTTTTATTATATATAATCTGTTGTCTTATTTAACCCTTTTATTCTCTTTCCTGCAATTTTCTTCAGATTTTTTTTTTCCTCGCTAGGGCCTAATGATACCTTATATTTCATCAAAGTGTATACGCTACTGAGGACTTCTACGGATAGCTTACTGCGCATGCGCTGGGACTGCCAAACACTGATCGGCGCGCTACTTAAAAGTAGTTTAAGACATGCTATCAGACCGACGAGTTAGTCTTTACAGCATTGAAGTGGAGGAAACATCTCGGCGTTCCATTTAATCAACGTAAGTCGCGCATGCGCGGCAATTTTAGTCTCAGTAAAGTACAAGTTTCAATAAAATAGGGTACCTCAATCACCCCTCATTATTTTTCAAATATTTTTATAATTTGGTTGAGAAATATGAATGTATAGGTTGCATAAGATTATATTATATACATATTTTCATATTTGAGGAGCAGATGGAAAGGAAAGGTACTATAATAACTGTAAGCAAAATATATAATAAAGCCATCTAGCGGCGCCACTAAATACATACGCTGCGTACGCTCCTGCATTTCTCGCGCATGCGCGAAAAAACCCGGCCCATATCTCATCATGCTATCAGACCGACGAGTTAGTCTTTACAGCATTGAAGTGGAGGAAACATCTCGGCGTTCCATTTAATCAACGTAAGTCCTATTTTTTAATATTACACATACATTTAGTCACAACAATTGTACATTATAAATAGTTATTCAATTTATTATTATTATAATTAACATTTTCTGGTTACTAATGATCTAACCTTCACGTAACAATATTATTAAATCGTGCAACAACAATAAATATGTTATTATAAATGCTTTTATTTTTCAGTTCCAAAATTGAATATACACACAATCTGCCTCGATCTTCGACAAAGAATTAAACCAATAAAGACTTGCATAAATTAAAAATTGTATAAAATATATTTGCAAATAGTATGTATTTATGAAGTTACAATAAATAAACAAAAGAAATCATGTACTTATTTACAATCCTTTCCATTACATTCTTAAACATAACAGACAATCAACAGGTTAGGTCTTGCTTACGGTAAGGTTATATATGGTTAGGTCAGGATCCAAGGTTAGGTCAGGATCTAAGGTTAGTTCGGATCATGTTAGGACAGGGACTAAGGTAAGGTTGTATCAGGTTAGGTCTGGAGACCTAACATATATCATTCCCCATGTTACTATTACTATTATCGTGGAAATATAATTATTATCCTTACTACTCTTATTATTATCAATTTGACCGACATCACTACCCATATTACTACTTTTACTATCGTTACAACTATTATTATTATGCTTATTATTCTTATTATTATTAATATTATTACCCATATTACGACTATTATCATCGCTGGAACTGTAATTATCTTTACTACTCTTATTATTATCAATATTATTACGCATATTACTACTTTTATCATCATTATCCTTATTATTCTTGTATTGACCAATATTATTACGCATATTACGACTATTATCATCGCTTGAACTGTAATTATCCTTACTACTTTTATAATTATCAATATGATTACGCATATTACTACTTTTATCATCATTATCCTTATTA